GAGAGAGAGAGAGAGAGAGAGAGAGAGAGAGAGAGAGAGAGAGAATGTGTACAATACGCAAGAGAATATAAGTGTGTGCCTGCTCTTGTGTTTGAGTATGGGTATATGTGTGTAGAGGTCATAGGACAACTTTGGGTTGTCATCCTTACCTTACCTTCCACCTTGTTTGAGACAGTGTTATGCTGGTAATTCATTGTTGGTATGCAAGGCTGGCTAGCCACCAAACCTCTAGAGACTCTCCTGTCTCTACCCCCATCTAGCCAGAGGAGAACTGGTATTACTGTACACATGATACAGTGTCTGGATTTTATGTGGATTCTGGAATTCTGAATATAGGTCATCAGGCTTGCAAAGCAGGTGCTTTATCCTCTGAGCCATCTCCCCTGCTGAAAGATACTGATTTCTTGCTCAATGGTGACTAATGCCATGTCACAACTACATCTTTACCTTTGTAAGAGAGACAAGTTACATTCCTCATCATTAGTTTCATAGCTAGGGTGTGAGAGAAGGCAGACGAAAGGCTAAGGAGAAAGTACATGATTAATAGTGACATATGCATATGCCCTGGAATAAAGATCAAAGTGAGTTGAGCATGTCTGTTGATGTGTCACAGAGAACAAAATCTCGAGATACTGAGAAAAAAAATCTGAACATGAAGAACAGAAAGGTCTCGGATCTGAAAGATAAGTTTACAACAATAAATGAACAATCAATGATCAAAAGAGTGAACAGAGTGAGCGTGTGTGGGTGCGCTCGGGTGTGTGTGTCCAGTGCACATGTGTATGCTTAAGTGCAGGTCAGAGATCACTAAGTGTCATCTTCATTCTCCACCTTGTTTTTTGAGACAAGCTATCCTTTAGCAAGCAGCTTGCTGACTCGGTTAGCCTGGCTAGATAGCAAGCCTTGGGGTTTTGCCTGTCTGCCTCTTCAGCAGTTGGGATTATGGGCATGCACCACCATGCCTGGCTGTTCATGTGAGTGTAGTGTATCTGAGCTCAGGTTCTCATACTTAAGCAGCAAGCTGTTCACTGACAGAGCCATCTCCCCAACTGTAAGAGTGCATTCTTTTCATTTTGTTTTGAAGTTGCTCTTTCTGGTGAAAGGACCGCAGAGATAGCAAACACTCTTATCATCTAGAGCAGCCATTTAGACATCAATATGTTCTGCAAACTTTGACACCCTGCCAAAGCAAAGAGGGTCCACCTGTCACTATGGTGGTAATTTATGTGATAAATAGTTAATGTTCTGGCAAGTGCATTGTAGACATGTTAATTGGATAAACTTTAAACAGAATTGTGGAAATATTAGTATCACCAATTATGGTGTTAATTTAATGAAATTTGTGGTAAACCAGCTGACTTCATTCTATATATAGTAAAGTTTTATCTTGTTTTACCAAAACAATTAAATGAGGGTTTATTTGCTGTTACAATGTGAGTGAAAATAAATCAAAGAGCCTGCTGTTATGTGTACTCAGTGCTAGGAAAGTAGATATTGTAAAGATTAATTATAAAAACATTGTAGTAAGAAAATAAAATCTGATAGCCGGGAATTAGCTTCCCAAGCATACATGTAACTTAACAGAAAGATGTAAAAATTGCCTTCAGAGATTGCAACTAATATATACAATACTATTAGTGATGAGGATAATTTTAAGTATTTGGAAATGCTTGAAAACTCTAATTGCCATTTTTATCTCATCTGCCATTAACTTCTCCTTAAGAAGACTTTCTTACTCAAACACAGAAACCCCTACCTGGACAATGGGAAGAGAGGGAGAGACCTTGGAACACTCAGTCCTAAAAGGGGATGTCGCCATCAAATCCCTCCTCTAGGGGCTCAAGGAACTCTGAGGAAGGAGACTAAGGGTTTGTAAGAGCCAGAGGGCATGGCAGACAACAACAAGAAGCAAGGCCTTCGAAACACAGCAGGACCAACATTCATGAGCTCACAGAGACTGCAGCAGCATGCAAAGGGCCTGCAGAGGTCTGTACCCGATGGGATCACAGTGCTGAGGGGAAGTGAGCACAATTCCCCTTCCCTAACCCGGAAGCTATCTCAAATTGACAATTACTTGCAAAGGAAAAATTTCTTCTCTCCAAGGGAGTCCAAACCACACTTAAGGGCAGGTGCCAAGCCCAGCAGTAGATGGCCAACAAAATGAGAACTCAGTGGTATTTTTGGAGGGGTTTTATCTCATGATGCTTTGTCTGGACATTTTTTTTTCTCTTATATGTATTATGGTTTCTGACTTGGTGCTTTTATGGGATTTCTGTTTGTGCTTGTGTGGGAGGGTGGAGGGATTCTCCTACTCACCTACCCATAGATGGCCGTGGAGTCAAGTTCTTGTGAATGCAGTAATATTTGTTTCTTTATTCAGGTGTTTAGAGGATTCGGGAGAGAAAGCTATAGAAAAGGTTGAATCTTTTCTTTGATATTTTTCTTCCAAATTCTAGATGGTGGCTAGGAGCTGGAAATTGGAAATCAGACAAGCCCAGAACAAAATTCCGTTACTGATTCTGTAATAATTTATCAGAGTCTTGGTTCTTTGCTTTGGAAATAAATGGTGAAATTATTTAAAGTTTTGGGAAAACACCTGGGACTTCGTGTGCTTGGCTCAGGAGTGAGTAGAGGGTCAACAAAAGTACTTCATGTTTGAGGCCAGCCTGGGCTACCAAGTGAGTTCCAGGAAAGGCGTTAAGCTACACAGAGAGAAACCCTGTCTCGAAAAACCAAAACCAAAAAAAAAAAAAAAAAAAAAGTACTTCATGGTTCTCTTCTCTGTGTCTCCAGTTTCCCACAATTCCTCCTCCTCTCCTTGCTTGTCCCCTCCCTCTTCCTGCTCCTTCTCTGCATCGTTGATGGCTGCAGCTGCCCAGGCTGTTGCTGCCACAGGCAGCCTTCAGGAGTCTCTAAGACGCAAGGAAAAAATGCGGATGGCAGACTGTGGGAAACTCACCCTCCTTGGTATTTTCTTTCGACCTTTTCCATCCTACAGAGGAAAAAACAATGCAAAATGGCTGGCTCTGCTCCCACCAGGTCACTTCATTTTGGGCTTTTGGAGTCAAGAAACCCAACTTAAAACCCCGGGCTTCCGAAATCTGTGGAAGGCTGCCCTCTGCAGGTCGGTATGAACTGAATAACTGTATTAGAGTCTGCTAGGGTAAATCCACCTTCCAGCTGAATGTGGAAGTTCATGTCCGCAATTCCAGAATCCAGGAAGTGGAGGGAGGAAGAAGGTTTCAGGTTTATCCTTGGCTAATGAATTCAAGGCCAGCCTGGGCTATATGAGACACTGTCTCAAGCAGACACACAAATAAACAACAAAATGACAACAAGAAGAGATGAATGGCCAAGGTGCAGCTTCTTTTTTTTTTTTGTTTTTTTTTTTTTTTTTTTTTTTTTGTTTTGAGGCAGTCTTACTATGCAACCCAGGCCAGCTTTGAACTCAACATCCTCCTGCCTTCAGCATCTCAAGTGCTGGGGTAACAGGTGTACACTACCACACACAGCCTCAAGGTGTAATTTCTTTGGGATGGTGCAGAAAGAGGCAACATATCGTCTAAAATAAACAGGCAAGCAGAGTGCCACGTTAAGACATTTCTTCTTCTTCTTGAGACAGGGGTTCTCTGTGTAATAGCTCTGGCTGTCTTGGAACTCGTTTTGACAACTCAGCTGG